GCAGGACCCCCAGCTGTCTATGTCTGCTTTATCATCCTCTCCCCGAGGTTCTCTAAGTCTATTTCCCATTCCTGGGGTCTAGCTATCATGTACTCTAACATCTGACAGGCTAAAAAACTAACAAACTCCCTGATATCAGACCTCAACATGACATGGTATTGAGTCTTCTTCATCACCTCGCATGCGGAATACTGTACGAACAACAAAGCTATCTCCCTAAACTTGGCGATGATATCCGCCACAGTATTAGTCGTCTGGCACAGATCCTAAAATTCCCTCGCCAGTTGTTGCACCTCAATATCCGGTGCAAACTCCACTCGAAATCAAGCAACAATGTCAGGCCAGGTCATGGCCTCAATAGCTGGTGCTCCCAGAGCATATTCGACCTCCTCCAACCAATCTCGTGCTCGATCTTACAAACACCCTACATCGAACCTCACCATTGACCCCTCAGGGCAGATCTGGTCATTTTTGCACACTCCATGTACGTTATCCATCGTCTGGTGGCAATGGGGTCTTTCACCCTGAAAAACTATTATGCCCCACATCCCCTGAAATCCTTGAATGAAAGGGTACGGGCTACGTACTGCCAGGCGGACATCTCGGCTCGATAGGCCCGAAATCGCTCCTCCATCATCTCAACTATCCCTCCCTTGATCGTCTCGAACATCACTGAGGTCACATTAAGGATACCGTTCATAATCTTAGACGCGATGAACTTGCATAGTCCCTCATCAATTAGTTCGGTACCAGAGCCTGAACCGGAACCAAATCATAAGCCTCTCGCTCCACCACGTGTCATCGCCATTCTAAAAGACAAACCATACAATGATCAGGAAATTTCCAAATAATCCTCATTCCACATGTTTCCTAGATTCTTTGTGACTTTCCACGATTCAAGTATAAATCCTATGCTTTCAGTAGTACGGGCCCAACACTACCTTCCACACCTATTCATACCTTCCTCAAGAATCATCCTGAATCCTCTAAGTCGCTTCCTCAAACTGGTACCTTAAGTACCCGCTAAACAGTTCATCCAAACCCGCTAAAATACTTCATAGGTTGTCCTAGGTTCCTCGCCCCATCCTGGCATCAACTGCTGAAGAACTCCCACTTATGTCAGTTAACTACTTCATGAATACAATTACATGCAACAAATCTTAGATAATCCTTCGACTAAAAGACTCAACCCTACAACGGTTAGACTCAGACGAAAGTTGTGCAAAAGGTTCAAATCAATCACTCTGAGATTATTTAACCCTTGCAACATGTAATTTAACATACTCACTTAATAGTCAACTAACATCAACAAGAGTCCCACAAAGCACAAAGCAAGTAGCATTCAAGCATTAGAAAATCTAACCAGCGCATCCCGAATGAGGGAATTCCATCGAATCATCAGATATCCATTCTAGCATGTAGTTCTACAAGCTCAAGCAATAGGCATACAAAGGCATATTTCCTAGCATTCCATCATGCAATCCTGAGCAGATCCTTAACCCTAATCTAGCATGCAATTCTCATAACATATAAAATAACAATAATGTATGGGTATTCTGGGAATCACTTACTTGAACTCGGTTGATTGCACACATCACACCCCCTTTTTCTTAACAAAATTTTTTTAGAAAACTTATTTTCTTTCAAAAAGATTACAAATTCCTCAGTTTCAGTTCAGACACACCCGAGAGTGTGCCCGAATCCCTCAAACCAAGGCTCTGATACCAACTTGTAACGTCCTAAAAATTTATTGTAAAATTTTCATTTTAAAAACAATAAAACATATAAGTGAATTGTTTCAAAACCAATCAGAGTAAATATATCATTTAAACATGAGAGTGAAAATCACAAATAGCCAATGCGGAAAATTCTCTGGGGGATGTTGTGCAGTCACGTCGGGCCCTTTCCTTTCGTACCCGAAGTACCTGAAACCATGAACATAAAATCGCAAGCACGAAGCTTAGTGAGTTCCCCAAAATACCCCATACAAAACATACATAACAACATGAATCTAAACCGGGTGTATTTCACCCCCGAGTCAATTTCAATTCCTTCGGTATCTTTCATCTAGTATGGGTCTATTTAACCCCCGAGTCTATTTCAACTCCTTATATATCCTTCAACAGGTATGGGTCTAGTCAACACCCGAGTCTATTTCAACTACTTCTGTATCTTTAAACCGGTACGGGTCTATTTCACCCTGAGTCTATTTCAACTTCTTATGTATCTTTCAACCGGTATGGGTCTATTTCACCTCTACATCTAAGCATAGAGTCATATCAACAATAGTCACAGAGACAACAAGCACATACACATATCAACAAGTGTCACAAAGACAACTATCATCCCACAAACATAATCCACTGGGCCGACATTGGTGCCTTCGACCCCTGAGTACAGTGAAGAGACTCACCTGATTCACAAATCAACTAAACCGTAGCTCAAAGCCTCACAACCGCTGCTACAACACTCCTATCACATAATACAAGGTCCAACCTTAGTCTACACCCTAAAACCAACCATCTTGAACAAAAGTCAACCCAAGTCAAAATTCGACGGTCAATATTGACTTTAGTCAACCGCCATGTGTGGCCTTCTTTGGGTACGTCGTGGCCCTCATACGGTCGAACAGACGGGAACTTCCCAGTCTTCACGTCGTGACAGCCTTTGGCGACGTTGTGGGAGTTGGGTTTCCAGTAGCTAAATGGATTAAGGCTTTTTCTTCGATTCTAAGAGCCCCAGAGAATGGATTTGGTCCATTCTATTGTCTAAATGGATAAATTTTCCAACTTTATTCATTAAGACACCGAGAGAGATCAATACCTCCAACCCTAGATTCAAATAAAGCAAAAATACCACAATGTCTTAACCATTAAACCCTTAATCTAAAGAAAAGTCCTTAACCCAACCACTCCAGAAGGGGTTCTAATACCATATCATTCATAAAGGTGAAAGCTTTATAGACATGCATGCCCAATACATGTCTAGAATCCTTTTTAGTCAAAATGAGCTATAAATGACCAAAACTCATTCAAATGACAAGAACTCCAACCAAAATATAGATCTTGCTCGTGGGACTCAGGAGAGTCGTAAAGTTGCCAACTTTATGTGTTCCATTCTTTCAAACTTGCTTAAACATGAAGAACATGCGACAATATCCTAGATGTAACTACTTCAAGCCATAAATTTTGAGCCTTTGACTGACAAGGGTCCAGAAGCAATGTGAGGTGTTGATGGTGTTGTTTCCTTGCAAGATCCACCAATAGAGCACCTTCTTCTCCTTCTTCTATTCTTCTCCAAGCTATCAAATGCTCCAAAAGGCCACAAATCACCCAGTGAATGATGGCTAGGGTTTCTATAAGGTATAAGGTGTTTGAGGCTGGTTATGAACCCTAGAAATTGCTTAGAGGGGTCTAAATACGAAGGGAACCCTAAAGAATCATGGGTTTGGGCCAGAACAGCTGCCACACCGTGGCAATCCCTGGCCACACCGTGGTCTCTTAATAAAATGTATGTGCCGTTTATTCAATGCCACACTATAGGCATCCTTGCTCCACGTCGTGGCACAAAGTTTTTCCCGAAAACTCCATCTTTAGCCATTGAGAATATACAGCTAAACCAGTCTGGAACACGGGTGTTACAACCCCCTTCAACCACCACATACACAAACACAGATTTACCTCCAACCACATTAATTATCTTGATCGACTTTCTAATATCACGATCATTAACAATAGCACAAAAATATAGCTCCTTGGGATGTCAATAAGAAAGACAAAATTTTGATTCATCCGGAATACCAATATTACTTTTCACCAAATAAAAAAATTTGATAAATGTGGTGGTCTCGTAAAATTCAACAATATAGTAAAACATTATTGGCATATAACCCAATGGCCAAACATATGATAAGGAACCAACAAACTCTCATCTCCCATCAATGATAACCAAAACGAAATATTCACTAAAATTAATAGTATGATTTTTTAGAGTAAAAAAACAGGTACTTTTAATCTCTAAAAAAACCTTCTTTTAATATATACTAATAAAAATACGTATGATATACTAGTCAAAACCATCATGAACTAGTACTCAACTTCATAGTCGTCAACAACAACATAAAAAATAAAAAAAAATCACCTAATCATATGTGACGTATGGCCTATGGTTTCAACCGTCATCTACGGTTAGAGAAACCATGGAAAATATAGAGCATATCGTAGGTGACTTTATCACCTATAGTTTTGTATGGATTTTTTTTATACTTGAGCATCAAACCATAGGCCATCCATGAAACAGTAGACGCTTTTGCTCGTCTACGGTTTGCTTGGCTATTTTTGGTTAGTTTCAACACATTTGACTATTAAATGAGAAGAAATTAGGGTAAATCGTTATATATTTCATTTTCATTTTTTCTGAAAAAATGAATAAAATCACACTCCTATATATATATATATATATATATATATATATATAATATATCTATATATATAATATATATATATATATATATAGGAGTAGGAGTAGATCAAATCAATGAGAACACCCAAAAGGTTGAGAATGCGAGAACGATCTGAACCATTTAAAAAACTAATCTAAGGTTATTATTGAATGGGCCATTTAATGTAAAATTTTAAAAGTTACAGGTATTAAATTGTACCTTCAAATGGTGATAAGGGTATTATAGTAATTGGACCTTTACCACCGTTATTTAATTCCTATAATTCCTCAATCACTCGCCCTATTTTCCTTCTATTTCTCATGCTTCTCTTCATCTCTCTCTGTAAACCTAGTACGCCTCCACCCTACATCATCGATCCACCACAAAAGGGAAAAGAATGGTGAGACAGATTGGAATCGATGAAGCCAAAAAGGGGGAAAGGGAAACAGGATCTCTGAATTGCTTTTAATCAAAAGGAGAGGATTCACGAACGGAGCAGGGATCTGGAGGCATAGTCGATTGGGGAATTGGTCGATCATCCTCGTCTGATCGAGTGACAATGAACGGAAATAGGTCAGAAATCATTTGGGCTGCTCTCGGTTTTTTTGTTGAAATCAGCGAAAGAGCACTCCTACAAGTCGATGTTAGTTCATCGGTTTTTCATTGGAGATTCTAGACCAGCATCGATTTCAAGTTGGAAGGTATGTCTCGATTTTGCTTGAATTGTTGCTTGTGAAGATAAGGTTTGATGATGGAGGCTATGTCGATGGTGGTTTCCTGGTTACGAAGGGTAAAGGGTATGGATTAGGGCTTCCTTTTCTTTCATTTATTCATAATCGATTCATTGATATATCACCCTATTTCGATGTTTGGAGTTGCAAATCCATCTCTTTCACTTTCAATTTTGTATTTTTCCGATTTTGGGGTTTTCTATAAAGAACATGAAATGATGAAGTATGAAAATTGTTTCAGGAGCGAAGAAAGAAGAATAGGGAGTACCTCACCGATTTGGGGTTCATCGCAGTAGTGGAGTAGCTGGGGCTATTCTGGCAACCTCTTCACCCACTTCGTTTTCTTGTTCCAGTTACTGTCGATGAGAGGGGAGGAAGGCAGAAAGAAAACGACAACAGGGGGTGTTTGGGTTGCTTGGTGTGTCGTAAAACAGTGGGAGAAAACGGAGGGGGCTGCTGCCCTTGGCTCGCCGGAAACCACCAGCAAACACCTCTGGTGGGGGTGTTTTTGTTGCACCTCGAAGATAGAGAAAAAGAAGCGAGTGTGAGAGGAAATGGAAGAATGAAAAAATTGTATTTATCTATGAATAGCAGTTATTCATTTGTGGACAGCAGTGCATTCATGTGTGAATAACAGTGAATGAATAGCAGTGCATTCATGTGTGAATAGAAGTGTATTCATTTGTGAATAACAGTGAATGAATGTATTTATTTATGATTAGAGGTATTCATTTATTCAATTCTGAATAACAGGGTACTCATTTGTTAAAAGCAGTTATTCATTTGTGAATAACAGTGTAAGCATGGTTAATGAGTATATTTATTTATGATTAGAGGTATTCTTTTTATGAAGAAATGATAATTTTTACACTCTTTTATTTTCAATTGATTAAAAAAGGAATTAGATTACTTGTAAATTGATGTGTACTTATATTTGTGATTGAGTAGTCTCAGGTTTTTGAAAAAAAAATCATTTATGAATACAAATGTACTAATTTGGTGTTCGATTTCTATTCATTTTTTTGAACACAAAAAAAACGTGAATAGGAGAAAAAAATTGATTTTTTTAAGAATTTTTATTTCAGTTTTAAAATAAATTTTGGTAAAAATGTTTTTTATATTCCATTAATAAGAAAAATAAAAAATTGAATATTTATTTCTTTTTTGGTAACTGATCCTAAATTTAAGGGAATTTGATTGAATTTTATTTTATTTTAATTTAATTAAAATATACATTTACTAGTAGGCCCTTAGATATTGATTGGTCCAGAATGTTTCTCGCGTTCTCAACCTTTTAGGTGTTCTCTTTGATCTTCTCCACATATATATATATATATATATATCTATATCTATAGATATAATATATATATAATATTATATCTATATGATATACTATATCGATATATATGGCCACGGGGGGCTCCCCCCTCCCCCTATATTTTTTTAACCAATTAGTCCATAACTAGTTTAAAATGTTACATATTATGTCTAAAACTATAAAATTTGACTTTGGCCCCTTCTGTTCTTCAATTTTTAGCTATTCTATTTTTCGCGGCCCCCAAATCAAAACTTCAAGCTGCGCCACTATTATATCTATATATAATATCTATATATCTATATCTATATATAATATATAGCCTATATATATATATATATATATATATATATATCTAGCGAGAGAGAGCGAGAGAGGGAAGGATCATTTGAGAACTCCAAGTTCCCCCGAGACCCCGAGAACTAAAGGTGTACGTTGCTCAAAAAAAAGGAAGGGTCAAGATGCAAGGTGGCGTTTTTGTAAATAAGTAGACAAAAAAAAGAAGAGGGTATCTTAATTAATTCCGTCAGGGGTATTATAGGAATAAAAGTATAATTAATGATTTATTTATCTCCTCTCATGATTAAAATAAAATTTCCTCTCTCTCACTCTCCTCCCCCCGTTTTCTCTCTCTCGCTCCCCCTACGATCCATCCTCCGACGACTCACCTCCGTCGAATAGCCTCCACCTCATCCATATCCGCGCGTCGATCGCCTCCCCCTCCTCCCTTCACGGCCACCTCTACCTCTGTCGACCGCCACACTCCTTGATCTCACGTTCTTCATAGAAAAAACCTCCACTGAAGATGCTTTGATTTTGAATTGGTTTGTGTCCGCCATTATTGCACATCTGTTCTCCCTTTTTTCTCTATCATCATCGGACTACTCCATTACGATCGAGATCTCTCTTCTTCCCCTGTCGTTGCGCCAACTACTGATTATATAACAGAAGGATAAAAGGATAAGTGTTCTTCATTTATTCTCATATTTGTAACTACCGTTGCTTGTTTTCTATTTTCTTTCTCTAATCTTGAATATTGTATTAGTTTCCTTCACCTTTGAGTTTTCAACTGTTCAGAGTTGGAAAATATATTTTGTTTGTTTTTAGCACACAACGTGTTTGTTGAAATGCTTCAAAGAATTTTTTCACCATTTACCTTTGTTAATTGTGCTTCTGTATTGGTAGTTTCATCCTATTGACTATGGTTCTTTGTGACCTGCCACCTGAGGATATTTCCAAACACCAATGATTGCAAAGATTTTGTTGACCAGCTATCACTAAGATGATGCTACAAATGCCAAATTAGGGAAATATATTGTTAACTATTAGAAGTTAACTTGGAAATCCACATTTACTACTTCTCTGTTAAGTCATGCTTTATGTCCATAAGTAAAGAAGAAGTGGTTTGTAAGATAATTTGATCTGTTTTCTTATCTTAATTGTAGTTACAGGCCTATTTTGGATTTGGTGGGGCTCTTTTAGAGTTTTTCACATTGGTAGCAACACACTCATCTTATTGAAAAAAACCAATATTTTCTTACTTGTATTCATCTTGATTTCTAGCTGTGTATCAAAATGGACACAGAACAGGAGTCTGAATCGAATGCAACACATAGTATCTTTATCAGTGAAGATATTTTGATTGTGCTAAGCTTTAGCTGCAATTTCTTGCAGTTGTAGACAGAAACTGTTGGCTTTATCAAGGACAGACATTGCAATGGGCAATCTATAGGTAACTCAACTGATTATTACTTTTTTAGTAACAAAAACTTATAATTTAATGAAAAAAAACTAATTTTAGGTACAATGCATGTTGGCTTCCATTGCTTGCTAAACATTCAGAGTCTAAAATTACTGAAGGACCTTTAGTTGTTCCTCTTGATTGTGAATGGATTTGGCATTGTCACGGACTTAATCTGGTATATGATTATGAAACAAATACTCATTTTTCCAATGATAATTTCTGTAAAAAACTTTATGTTCTTGATATATTTTTTTACAGGTTAGATACAAATCAGATTATGAAAAATTCTATGGAAGTATTCTTGACAACTCTAATGTTGTCTCTTCTATTAATCAAAGAACATCAAGAAAGGAAACAGAAGAAACATGGAACAAATTATACCCTTATGAACCCTATGAGTATGACATGTCACGTGCTTCCTCAAGTGAATTTTCAGAAAGTTTATATAATGGAGGAACTCAAAGCTTTTCCAAATATGATTTTTTTTTAGCTGTTGAAAGACAAAGCCCATTCTTTTACCAGGTAAACCTTAAAACCAGCTAAAGATTACTATAAAAAGTTAAAAATAACTTTTTTTTTGCAGAATTGTTTGAAACCCTACTCTTTGTGATAGGTGTCAAGGCCTCATTTCAAGAAAGATCTATTCCTTCAAGATACACTTATAATCTCATGATTTGGGGGGTTTTCCTTTCTTCAAGAGTAGAAACTACAAACAGATTCATTGAATGTATGTGTGATGTGTCACAAATATCATTCAGATTTTTCCATTCAGGTTCCTATCAAGCTATAGTCGTGAGAGCTTTCTACAATTGAAGATTTCTTGGATTTCAGGTAATTCTCACATAATATCAAAAATTTTATATAGAAAAATGATGATGAATAAAGAGATTTACATGTGAATCACTTGTGATTCACATGTGAATGTGAATCATTTGTGATTTACATGTGAATCACATGTAAATCATGTGAATTAATTATTTTTTTCTAACCATATAGCTTATTTTAATTGCTTTTATATTAAGCTTCATAAATCACTTGTGATTTACATGTGAATCACTTGTGATTCACATGTGAATCACTTGTGATTTACATGTGAATCACATGTAATTCACATGTAAATCATATTAATTATTTATTTTTTTCTAACCATATATTTATTTTAATTTGTTTCATTTTAGCAATATATCACAAGTGAATCACATATGAATTACATGCGATTCACATGTAAATCACAAGTGAATCATATGTAATTCACAAGTAAATCACAAGTGATTCACATATGAATTACATGTAAATCACATGTGATACATATGTAATTTACATATAAATCACATGTAATTCACAAGTGATTCACATATTAATTAAATGTGATTCACATGTAATTCACAGTAAATCACAAGTGAATCACATATGAATTACATGTGAGTCACATGTAATTCGCATGCTAACAACATGTAACTCACAATTAAATTTCATATGAATTACATGTGATTCGCATATAAATCATTAGTGAACCACATATAAATTACGTCTATATGGACACATGTATTTTTGTGAGTTTTCTTGCATTAATCATTTTTTTTCTTGTAGATTTGGAAGAATTTGTGGAAAACATTGAAGAGATGAAAAATGATAAATTAAAGAAAATATGGAACACAAAGACATAAAAAAATCTCCATTTTTTTAAAAAAAAATTGAAATTTTTTTTTTTAAATCCGAAATTTGATTTACTATGTTAATTTTTAAACTTTTTTTTATTAATAACCAATAAGAAAAAGAAATTAAACATTAATTAGATCGTAAGATGAAGATTATGCCTTAATGATTAATTTTGATCTAACGCTCCACATTTAGTTCCTCAGGGTCTCGGGAAACTATGAGTTCTCAACGGATCTCAACACTTATATATATATATTATATATATATATATCATATATAATATATATATATATATATATATATATATACTATATATATCTAAAGTTGTATTTGAGAGATACTCTAAGTTTTATATAAAAGTTGTATTACCAAAACATCCTGAGTGGAATATATGTTCACTTTCTAACAAGGTTACCTCTACTTTTACATAGAGGTTATTATCTTTCTGAATAATTGATAATTATTTATCCAAATATATACTGAAATCTTAGTAAGTATATATTAATCGACAATGATTTCGTCATTACTTAATTCCAAGAACATTTACAGACTAAATCCGAATGCAAAATTGATTTTGACATACAAATGGCATGATGTATAGTGCTTATCCTTGTACAACCATTGAAAACAACTGTAACTATAGTTCCTGCAAAGTTTTTGCTCAGATCATGGAAAGAAGGTTATGTTTCTCTAATGTCAACATACAATACACTGACAGACAAAAGCAGGTGTCCGGTGTGCACCGGAAGAAGTTACTTTTCATATATATGATATATATATAGATATATTATATATATATATATATATATATATATATAGATATATATATACTAGCCGTTACCCGCGCAATGCGACGAGTGGCAAAATATCATTCATCATTTAAATATCGTTAATGTAAGTTAACAACTGTATGACATTTTGAAAATAGTTTCATTTATAGTTTAGTATTTGGGGTTTAGGGTGTGACCAACATTACTGACATAGTTGTTAGTGGTGTGGTTGTAGGTGAGACATCTCATACGTATATTGAAATGATTATTTTAGTTTCTAGAATTGGTAATTATGTCCTTTTGTATGAAAATTTCAATAGTTAATCTAGTTTTTAACTGGTTCATTAGTAAAATGTTTCACTTATCTATCTTTCCGTATGTAGATTATAATCTTACTAAATCTGATTGGATTTGACCAAGTCGCACCAAATTCAAATTCATGTATCTAATTCTCAATGAATGTTTTGATTTGTAATTAAATTATACATATTACATCAACGAAAAGTTTAAGGAACATGATAAATTGATTGTAAATATATAAGGTATATTAATAATATCTTCTAGCATAGTAGCATCATCTTAAGCCCTTCCTTCCATCAACAGTTTCACCAACCATGGGATTAGCTCCAAAGACTTTTTATTCTTTTTTCTTTTTTGACATGCACACACCACACCACGCCATTATAAAAATCCATTAACCTTATATTTGAGAAATATTTATAAACCGATGCTAAAAAAATGGTCGATCAACAGTCTGTATGTTCCATTTCTTGTTGCTCTTAGCCATTATATCCTACATTAAAATAAATTTGTTAGAAAACCAAACAACACTTTTTAAGGTGGAAAAAATTACCAAGATAAACTAAACCAAACTTCAGAAATAAGCTTTTTTGCTTTGAACTCGACAACAACAAAATAGCACCACAAGTAAATTACTTTGAACCTGGCAGCATCAAGAATTTAACTGGCTTATTAACATATATTATAATTTTAAGAAAATGTCAAATGAGGGTATTTTTTTTTCAGGCACCATTTGACACAATTATAATGAAGTCGTGCAACAAAAATTATGAAAACCCTTACCATTGTAGATACATAAGTATGCCCCTTGTGATCCTTCTCTAGCAAGACTGAAATCTGAAAGTTCGTGTTAGATTTCTCATCCAATTACACATTTGTGGACTTGCTATATCACCTTCCAAAAGAAAAAATTCAGAAAGAGATGTCAGTTTTTATTGATCAAAAGCCTTTGAAAAAAAAAGCTTTCAAAAGTTAACCATATATACTCCACTTTGTATCTACTACTGATGTAATAAACTAAAGAAACAAACAAAACCCATTTATATTCTCGTTTTTTATTGATCAAAAGCCTTTGAAAAAAAAAAGCTTTCAATAGTTAACCATATATACTCCACTTTGTATCTACTACTAATGTAATAAATTGAAGAAACAAACAAAACCCATTTTTATTCTCGTTGGAAAAACCATATCTGTACAGAGAACCCCATAAATTGTTCACGTTCATTTTGGAAAAAAAAAAGTAAAATCAGAAAAGATAAGAATAGAGAGAGTGATGAGTGTGTGTGGGCATAGACATAGACAAATAGTGTGCGATGGTGCGTGTGTGTAGCGATGGTCGTCCTGGTTGGTGCGACAGGTTAGAGAGATTTTATAAAGATAGATACTTCAAGGTTAGAAACGTTTCCTAATGTTAAACCTCAACATCAAGGTCTGGTGAGGGTTTCCATTATGTTTCTTCCTGTGATCATATCGAGTTTGGTAGTGAAGAAACAAATGAAATCTACAGGCAATACAAAAAAATTGAAAAGTTCAAGAACTCAAAACCTTCTTATTGAAAACATAAATCGATTTAGGGTTCTTATCTGGTACTATCGGACTGTGGAGCGTTGTTGTTGGCTCAACGCCGCCCACCGCCCCCTCCAAAACCTTCCACAAAAAAATGAACCAAATCATCAAAAGAAGAAGGTGTCAAAGAGGAGAGAATGACGGGGTAGATAGAAAACCACACCAGATCGACGATGGCAATGACAACTGCTCTCTCTGTATTAATCTCCTTTGCGATCGAGTTGGAGAGAACATAAGCAGGTGTTGATTCCAGATCAACCGATGGAGACAGAGAGAATAGAAGGAGGCGATGGTGAACGGTGACTTGTTCGATGGTCGTGAAGGTGATCTGACGGTGGAATCAAAAGCAATTGAGGAAGCCTAACTTCTTAACTTCATTGTTGGTGCACACCTATAAAAAATTCAAATACACAATTGATTTAGGGTTTTAAGCGAACAAACCTTGTAAACCTGTAGGTCAAATATCAAAATCGATGAACTAAAATGTTCGTCTTCAAGCTACGCTGCAATTTATATAGAATGAAAACATGAGATCATCAATTATAGCTACAATTGGGAAGGCCGAGATATAGGAGTGTCGAGTCAAGATAAGGATGAGAGAGAAACGGGAAGATAGTTGTTGACTTGATCTCAAGCGGGATTTGAAAGATAAAGAGGGAAAGATAAGGAGTCAACTCAAACTTTATGCTTAGACTCAAAGAAGATACTAATGCATTAGTTAATTGTATTATTAGCTTAAATTTTTGGACGTCTTAAATCTATTTTTAGAAATAGTAAGGTTTCTATAATATATATATATATATATATTATATATATAATATATATATATATATATATATATATATATACTAATAGGATACTCGCACGATGCGGCGGCGCGAGATAGTTTATTTCGGCGGATAGTTTCCATATGCCGATTTATTTTTTTGCATCAGATAGTTCTTTTTCAACCTTTCGACATACTGTTTTGTGTCGGATAGTTCTTTTCGGCAAATAATTTATAGCTAGTTGTGTAGGTGCAGAGACCGAATAGTAGCAATTTCGGTGTCACCTATTGCTTTTTTTTTTACTTTATGATTATTTGGTATGGATGTGCATAAAGCAAACTATAATATATATATATATATATATATATATATATATATATATATATATATATATGTGTGTGTGTGTGTGTGTGTGTTGAAAAAACGATATTTTTGGAAAACCGACAATATGATATAGTTATGGAATGGTTTACGATGATGCCGATTAGTTTCATTTTGATGAATAATTTACATGCAAATATTAGTATCTTTTTTTATTTATAGAGGGGTATTGGTCGTAGAGATGAGCGTAACGATTGGGAAGCGATTGTTGTTTAGGTTAAAGTTAAAAT